CGACATTCCGCACACAGCCAGTCTGTTAGGATTCAATTCTTGTGTGGGGTGTGATGCAAGGCTCAATACTTTCCTTCCCAATCGGCAACGCCCCAGCAAGCTGTCTGAGTGTATAGCCGATGCAGAGTCTTCGGACATGACTACTTTGAATGACCGTTTTCGACATCGTCCTATCGCGGGCATCTCAACCTCACCATAGGTCCTTGTTTCAAGAAGATTGAAGGGACTGGAAATAGACTGGTAAGAGCATTCAAGGGTCATCATATTTAGTAAGAGTTAGAATTTGTTTAGGTTGATTCAAATTTCACGCTCTCGGAAGAAGGATCGTTGCCCACAGTCGGTCTAGAATTCAAATCTCGCCAGTGTCATGTTTCGAAGAGATATGAATATCTGCGCTATGTACCCCGACATATCCTCATGACACCGAATGTACCACCGACAAGTATGACTCAGGAGGAGCATGATGCGGGCTTGACGCTCGCTCGAATATAATCGTCAACGCCGCATATTTCGGAACGGAGGTCAACTGAGCTCAAAGACCCTGCAAATAGCAATATACAGCTCTACTAGACTACTGCTCAATCATAGGTTATGTATGCGCCTGCTGTGCGCCAACCTTTAAAACTCGCTGGTTGTTTTCTTCTGAGTCATTATTTTCCCTCGTTTACTCTCTTGCAGAGTTCTCATGTCTCGCCGCATTTTACTCACTACGAATTGTGAATACGGACAAGCGAATGTTGTTCTTGCTCTCGCGTATGAGCTCGCCACACGACCCGGTGTTAAGGTCGCTATCGCGTCCTTCGCAGCTCTCGAGAAACGCGTTACTCAGTTGCAGATGCACCTACGAGATGCAGGTTACGATTCGTCAGACATTTCTTTCAATCTTCTCCCTGGCCGCGGACACATCGAAGCAGTTGGTATGACTAGGCTTGATACACCCCATGGGCCTGGCGTCAAGCAAGCTCTGCATAGCTTTCGCTATGCGCCGAGCATGCTACTTCCGTGGACAGAGTCTGAATACATGGACCAGCTCAGAACAATTGAAGATATTGTTCACAAATTCGAACCGGAGGTAGTGGTAGCGGAGTGGTTCCATCGGGCTGGTCAAGATGTATGCAAAAAGCTCGGTTTGAAGTTCTTTGTGATCACACCGAATTCTCCGAAAGACATAATTGGCTTCCGACAGCCATGGGCTGCTGGTTTCTGGAAGTTCCCTGCGTAAGTCAAGCTTTCCTTGCTGTATCATGTTGGTCGTTGATAATTGATATCATCACTTCGACAGACTGTCTTCTGGATATGCGTACCCCCTGCCATGGCTAAAGTTAATACCCAACATGTTTATTAACCTCATGTTAATTTCGGGCATTAAACTTTCCCCAATCGTCGACAAAGCTGACAAAATACGTAGAATCTATAACGAATCTCATCCACCTATTCTTGTAGATTCCGAGATCCAATATCTCTGCCCGTCTACTCCCGAGCTTGATTTCCCCGTCCTAATTCCTGACAACCTCATGCTATGTGGACCTATCGTTATGCCCACAGCTCCCATTCAAATCGTTGATCCAGAATTGACAGCTTGGTTAGATCAAGCACCAACTGTCCTAATCAATCTAGGCTCCCATGTTACTTTTGATCACTCTGCCATCAGAGAACTCGCAGGTGGATTTTTGCCGCTCCTACAGAGTCACCCTAATATCCAGATACTGTGGAAACTTCGTCCTGAGGGCGATATCCAGAATGTCCTTGATGAATGTATTGAGAACAACGCAGATGTCCGAGAGCGGGTTCAGGTCGTGCAATGGCTCCAATCGGAACCCTATACGATCCTCCAGCATCCAAATTTGATATGCTCCGTACATCATGGAGGCGCGAATTCATTCTTCGAAGCAGTGTCGTGAGTGCCTCTTTTTTTCCTCCCGGATGTTTTACAACAAACTGATATCCGTTTGCTTTCGCAGAGCTGGCGTTCCTCAGATCATTCTCCCCGTATGGTACGACACGTACGATTACGCCACACGAGCTGAATGGCTCGGGATTGGGCTATGGGGAAGTCATCGCAGTGCCCCCAAAGCTGAAGCTTCAGAATTCGGAGAGGCTCTAATACGGGTGGCAGGTTTCAGTGCGGAGGCGGAGGGTTTCAGAATCAAAGCCCAGAGTTTGGCAGAGAGCTGTCGAACTCGACATACGGGAAGAGTTCGAGCTGCTGATGAAATCCTGAAATTGTGATATGTATAACCAGTATATTTATGGCTCAAGTTCGATGTTTACACACTGTAGCATAGGGGTCTTTACGCTACTTGTTGCAGTTTTTACCATTATATCTATATCTATTTTATTTCTGCATACTTATGCACATGCGCCACTTTCAGCGTGCGATCGTTCCCAAAGTATGTTCTGCGTGTTTCAGACCCAGGGGTTGGTCCTCAATCTGCTGAAGGAACAGTGTACAGACCGAGATGCTCGTACACCACGGAAGGTAGTTACTACACAGTCGGTCCCTAGACAGAGCTCATACAGGACCATGCTTTTTGACAAGGTCGGTCAAAAACTGATACGATCCGAGAACTGCGAAGAACGTTCCTGAATGGAGATGTGTGTTATTTTAAAAAAAATCTCAGCTACCGTACTTATAGTTCAACGTCAAATTCCTGATACGTCCTCAGTCAATATTATTCCGACAGCTTCGAAGCTGTCCCTCGAAAGCTACCGGTCGGAGTTTATTTCAACTTGCACTTTCCTTGACATCCTTCAAATCCTTCGCAGCATTTAACCTTGCAACCGTCCGTTCATGCCCTAATGCGCGCACGATATCAATGATGCCTGGTCCATCCTGGGTGTGTGTATATGTCAGCGGGGTGATACATATAAGAGAGCTACAATGGAAATGCACAACATACCTTCATCCCAGTCAACGCATGCCTCAACACACTCATGAACACCTTGAGATGCACATCAAGTTTCTCTCGTTCGTGATGTAAGCTCTCCATGATGCTTTCATGAGACGCAGCTTGGAACGTAAACCATCCGTTGGTTTGTATGAGCGTGATGAACACGTCGAGTATTTGGATGCGTTGGTCTACGGAGACTTTTCGGATCATGTTTTGAGCCTCCGCCGTCGCCCAGTCTGGGTTGACGTAGAGGTAGGGTGCGTGGAGAGGGATGTCGTAGATATTCGTTAGTCGGCCCTGTATTGGGAGAAAATCATGCATCCGAGTAAAAGATCATGAACGCACGAACCTCGAGCAAAGTAATAGCGTTTTTGATATTATCCACCGTAGTATACGGGCTGTGGGATGTCATACAGATCTTCATCACCTTTAAACAGTGAAAACAGCCAACCTCGACTTGAAGGCATCCTTAACATGCCCATGCACTCTGTTCGCGAGCTTATCCAAGCCCTCCGGGGTGCTCCAAGTCTTCATCAAATGATGTTTGTTGATATATTCGAGCTTAATTCCATCAAGGACGGAACTGCGATGTGTGAGTGCAGAGAGATCAAAGTCTGAGATCATCTCGTCTAGTGTCATGAGGTGAGTGCTGTCGGGTGCGTCTTCGAGACGATGAGGTGATGATGGTCGTGAGGACGAAGAAGAATCTGTTTCGGACCCATCGGTTATGGGTGCAGTAGCTTCATGTATAGCACCCCAGCCTGCGAGAGCGAGCCAATTTAATATAGCTTGTGGTTCCCAACCTCGATGCTGAGAACAAAGGAAAGATGAGAAATATTTCGAAAAGGTCACTCAAGATTGAGATACCATGTAATCCACGACCTGTACATCTCCACTCCTCTTCGACATCTTCGTTCTGTCAGGATTTAATAAAATAGGTATATGAGCGAATTGAGGTGGAGTAAGGTTGAGGTGAGTGTATAGGTCGAGATGTAAGGGCAGCGATGGGAGCCATTCCTAATTATCGAATGAACGAAAACAAAAGTAGGATTAGTATTGAGAACGTGTGAGGGAGCTGGGGAGGTCAACAAGCGCACCTCTCCTCGTAAAACATGTGTTATACCCATTTCATGATCGTCTACGACCGAGGCAAGGTGGTAAGTCGGAAATAGGTCACTCTTCAGCAATACCGGGTCTGTAGCCAAGGAAAGATGAGCATCTCGCACATGTCCGTAAACGATATCGTGAGTCGGAGGACGCGTAGGAGTTATTCCGTCCTGCACAAAAAAATTAGAGGCAACTCGTCAAATTCGAAATGTGCTGTATAATAATAACGTACATTAATCCTCACAACAAACTTTTCCCCAGCCTTCACTTTCCGCGCAACTTCCTCGTCACTGAGGTGAAGACACCTCTTGTCGTAGGTATTGTTGGACCCGGATCGAGCTAGACGCGTTTTCACGTCTGCTAATTCGTCTGCAGAGCAGAAACATCGATAAGCCTGCCCTTTCTGTGTTCCGGGTCAGTTTTATCGCTGTCTTGAAAGCATTTGGTGAAACATACATCTATAAGTTTGTTCGCATATAAGCGATACAAGTCGCGTCGTTCTGACTGGATGTAGGGTGTAAGACGGGGTATTTCAGAAATAGAGACAATGTTACCTGGAAATAAGGTCCATGCGGCCCCTCTTTTTCTGGACCTATAGAGATTGAATATGTTGAGTCTCCTTTCCGAAGCACCATAAACACACCGTAGTCATAATCCAGCCCAGCCCAGCTGAGAGCCTTTCTGATACCTTCCACAGAGCCAGGGACTGAACGGGTCTTGGAAATCCTGATTAGTATTGCTTGCAGAGAAAGATAGGTCTAAACTCACAGTATCCGTGTCCTCAATCCTCAGAATCCATTTCCCCCCAAATTTCCGTGCGTATAAGTAGTTATACAGCGCCATACGAAGCCCCCCAAGATGCAGAGGCCCTGTGGGCGACGGGGCAAAACGTAGAAGTACCATGTAGGTGGATTGTGGAAATAGATTGATCAAATGCGAGGTGAGAATTTATCATAAAGTACAACTATTATTGTTAGTAATTAAATTGAGACCAGGATATTATCCGATATGGTGTAGTGGCTAACATTATCGCCTCTCATAAAGTGTGCTTCGCGATAGCCCGGGGTTCGATTCCCCGTGTCGGAAATTAGATTGTGATTGTTTTTGTTTTCGAAAACAGATGAGCCCGAGGAGCAGGAGGTGCCTCCTAGTGACGTGTCTTCTTTGCTATTTATGTGGGCTCTGATTGACTCCAAGTGACTAATTCTCTGTACCAAAGTTCACATCGAAGTTAGTAGAGAGTAATTTACGTGATGCGGCAACGTACTACTAATAATAGACAGACTATGAGGGCATCCACAAACGACCCATCCCAGCGAACCACTCTCCCCCATTCCAACTTGTCCTTGGCCAATCAGATGTCTTTAATCGACAAGGTATAAGCTTTTCCTTCATTCGGGGGTGGAACCTCCGTTTGAGGATATCCTTTTACAGCTTTAATCCTGGCTTTCAGCACCTCCCACCTATTTAAGTCGTATTTCGCGGTATCCAGCGCTTCGATCTTCACCATATATTGCAACATGACATCGTAATAGTCACACTCATTCTCCACCTTGACCTTGACTTCATTCACCTTAAGCACTTTGGATACTGTTTCAAGAAAATCCTTTTCGTTGCGAAAGATGTTGAACGATTCCTCTTTTGATTTCAAGGAACCAAAGTCGACCTTGATGTTCAAATCCACCAAAGATCTAGCCTTCATTTTGACCCAAGGGCCTTTGCTGGAAACTGCCTCGTGAGGCATGTATTTGGGCGGCGAGAGGTCCATTTTTGAAGGCTCTATGAGCCAAGGCATCAAGTCTTCATCGTCGGGTATGGATGCTGGACTAATGCGCGCTGTGAAGCCAGCATGAGTTCCAATGAATAAGACAATTTTATCATCCTTTTCGAGCGGAGGCCACAGTGTATAGTTATACTGCTTGCTCTGTCGAAGCTTGGCAATGCGCCCAAGCCAGATTTTGAGACTATTATATTGTACTATGATACGTTTGATTGATATGTGTTTGTTAGCTTTGTGAGGTATATGAAGAGTTGAATTCATGACATACCGGTAGGTTCTTTATTTTCAGGCACGATCCCGAGTATGGGGTTGGGCCGGGCAAGCATAGTAGCGTTCAGGAGAACAATGGCGAGTAGGAGATACACAACAAATGGTCGACTGGATGTCGACAGATGGGTGCAATGGAAGAACATGACAATGGAGACTGAAGATAGGCGTGAAGCAACAAAGGGCTGGAGTAAAAGACTTCGCACTGTAGAACAGCAACAGTGTTATGTATGTGAATCTCCTTCTATAAACAAAAATTACTAACCGTAGAATGATCCAGCGACAAAACTCAGATTTGACCAGCAAAATCTATTGTTTACCTTCGAAGGCGATAAGGATGGATACCAGCTGGATTGTAAATGATAAAATCAACATCATCCGGATAAAACATTGGCGAAGGAGGAAATTGTACCGCGAGTGTTGATGACTGGGAAGCCCGAACAAACGTTCAACGTTCAAGTTCAACACCCAAATTTCTGCCCAGAATTGGACAATTTTTTGATCTGCAGGCACACTTTGAATTTGTTTCGTTTCAAAGGTTCCACAGCTAATCACTTAGCAAAATAGCATAGCTAAGCATATGGAGGCCCCGGGGAGGCCCTGTACCCGCGTGCCGCATTTTTCACCTACAATCCAAGTACCAAGCAAGGTGTGTTCCACGACAAGGAAGCCTATTCGACACGCTGCTCGTTCAGCCCAGTAAGCGAGCGCGGAACCATCTAGCTAGGGACGGCTTCGGACTCCGGATGCCTCTTTGCACTGCCAGGTTCTGTTTTTGCCAATAGTCCTTTTTTCCCATCATCTATTGCTTTAGGATCTCTGCTGGCTAGAATCCGCTCTGTAATTTATCCAACACATTGAACCTTTCGACCTTTTACATCCATCTTTTCACTTCCTTTCTGCGATAGAATTCCTGCTGGCCAGAATTCGCTCCGTTATCCAGATTCCATCTAGTATACATCGAAACTTCCAACTCTTCTTCCAGGCCATTTCGAAACTATCGATGCTTTTCTGTTTTACCTCCCTGAGTTTTATCTTCTGGGCCTCCCTGCTATTCACCGCTGGTGCCATACCCTACGACAGATCAAAGCAGGGCATTCATCAGTCGGGTCCCGATTCGAGTACTTCAGCACTCAGATACTCTGTAGCGCCAGTGCTGCAGCCTCGCTCTTCAAAAGTACACTCTCTAGAGAGAAGGAAAGAAACCACTGCTGCGGACCAAGAATTCGCGAATGGATGGTTTGGTCAACTCCATGTACTTCCCTTTTTCTCTGTGCCATTTTCCAGTGAATTTCACACAAATATCGCTAGTATGAGAATTGGATTGATTATTCCTTCAACTCGAAATGCGTCGGGTACGACAAAAACGAGGAAACCTTCATGCGTGCGTGCAATACTATTGATCCTTTACGTTTTACATAATGATCGGTCTATGCACTAGGCAACAACCTGACAACTGAAGTAGCTGACCGTAAGCTCTTCGCAAGTTTCGGAAGTTACAACAAGGGTATCTTTACCCTACCAAATCTCAGGGATAGTGTTGTGAAACTGGTGAGACTCACTGGCCTATGCCACGAAACAGCATCTTGCGAAATAGAATCGCTCAAAGCTTTTGGACAACACGTTACGAGCGGATTCGCGACGTTGCCGGAAGGAAACGTCGGCGTAATCATCATGAAGAAGGTTGAAGGAATACCTTTCTTGGAAAGCTCAAAGTGGAGTTTCACATTGGATGAAGCGCAAAAGATGAATGCTCTCGATGCACTCGATGCACTCAAACGAGAGGTTCAGGAAATGATCTATAATCTTTTACGCGAAGGAAAGCCTCTTTTTTCGTGAGTTTATCCGCTATATTTGCCAACATCAACCTTGTTCACAATATATACATTATCAGCGACTTTCAAAATGGTAACATCCTCATCGATGCAGAGGAGAAAGCTCATTTGGTCGATTTTGGCTTTCCGGGGGTTTGGCCAGTAAAAATGGTCCCAGAAAGAAACGTTTTTGTGAGTCATGAAACAACGATTTTGTAATGTTTGCGTTGACACGTCTCGTATCATAGAACAAGTGGTTCGAAAGACGATGGCACTTTTTGTGGGAGTCCTCCTACGTACAGTTAGGATACCCGGTACCTGTCTTCTACCAGCCAAAGGCGGAGGGTAAAACAAAAAAGAACTGGTCCAAAAGTATACTGACAAAACTCGGACTCGGTAGAGCGAAGCGGAAGGGAAAGCGAGGATCTTTTGCCATTGATCGATGAGTAGGACAAACGTCGAGGTTATGTACGTGTAGTGGTAGGTTGTGGTACATCATCAATGCAGGAATTCTTCAAACCCACTTCAAGCGTCTCCGTTTCGCATGACGGCCGTAAAATCAGTTCTGTGAGCGTTTTCAAAAATAGTCTCATTCATATGAATTCCTCGTACAGAAAGTATTCATCCATCCTTTGACTTCGTTGAAAACTTCCTCGTATGAGCATTTCAGGTATTCCGGGGCCCTAGTTAGAATCACATCTGCATCTAACACTTGTCTATGATTTTTCATTTTTGCTTATTCGAGCGTCGTCTTTCGGTGCTCAGTGACTGTTTTCTGAAGAGAGGAACTCTCCGGGAATTGATATCCAAAGACGAGCTTTCCCCGATGTGTACGACCACAAAACGTGCTCTTCATGATGTTTTCATTGTGAACAATTACGTTTTGCACACCTTTTTGTTCGACGTATAAGCAACGAACGGGGCCGTATCCTCTGTGCGGCCCGTAATGACATCAGCCGCTTTGGCTAAAAAAGCTGAATGGGTTTACTCCCCTGTCTGACACTGCATCATCATCATCGATCTTTATTTTTCTTTCACCACATCTACCATTATCGAGTTTCTACTTCAGTTATCACCATTTGACATATCCAATTCAAGTCCAAAACAAATTTGACAACCTCGTGCTGGCCATATTCCTGCCATGATGGGTCTCCTCAGTCAAGCCGGCTCTCATTTCCGAAATGTTGCAGGCAGTAACACGAAGCCTCGAGGCTCCTCAGAAGATGACAGGGCTCCTTCGGACACCGAGCCTGATGATACTTCGATCCTGTTCGTCTCAACATCCTCCGCAGCACAATGTTTCTTTCAAAGACTGATTTTTGTGGTGACAGCGATGAGAATGAAGGAAGCATCATTTCTTCGATGATTTCCCAACTCAGGTGAGTTACTGAATCATCGTGTTTTGTACTATCCGTTGACGATCCTACCCTAGAGTTGGGATGGACCTTTCTCGCGTCACTTTTCCAACTTTCGTGTTGGAACCAAGGAGTATGCTCGAAAGAATCACAGATTTCATGGCACATCCGGACCTCATATTCGGGTGCGTTTCGATTTCTCTGCTCAGTCAACAGCTATAAGCTTCATGTCCGTAACCTGTACAGCGCCGAACAATGTGATGACCCCGAAGAACGATTTCTCCGAGTCCTACAATACTACTTGGCAGGATGGCACATCAAGCCCAAAGGTGTCAAGAAACCTTACAATCCTGTCCTCGGCGAATTTTTCCGGTGTCAATACGATTACCCAAACAACACACAAGGCTTCTATATCGCCGAACAAGTTTCACATCATCCACCAGTATCTGCTTTCTTCTACATCTCTCCTGAAAATCGCCTCATGATTCTTGGAGAACTCCGACCCAAATCAAAGTTTCTCGGTAATAGTGTCAGTACAACAATGGAGGGCGAGAATAGAGTCACACTGCTCGGCAAACCGGAAGACGGAGGTACGTACTGGTTCTCCACTTCGTCGATTCATCTAATTTTCGAATAGAATATGTCATTACAATGCCGAACATGTACGCTCGAGGGATACTGTTCGGCAAGATGGTGCTGGAGCTGGGGGATACTTGCATAGCCAAAAATGAGAAGAATGGCATTTACTGCGACCTTGAGTTCAAGACAAAGGTTTGTATTCTCACTATGTTATTCAATGACACTAGGTTTTTATGAAACGGATATTAACACTTACATACTCCGCAGGGTTTCTTTTCAGGAACTTACAAT